GTTCACTTGCGGGATGGTCTCGTTGTTTTAGACAGCGTGGGGTCATGTCAGCATACCAATGTGCCTGTGTTTTTTGGTGTGCGTTGTAACTTCAAGCATACAATTGTCCTGCACCGAAACTAACTGATGGTATTATTACGGGTACTTCCCCTCTCTACACCGCATCATGTAACAAAGGATACACGCTTTCTGGTAGCAACAATGTCACCTGCGTGGATTCAGCCACAACCACATGTCTACCAGCATGTATCCGTAAGTATAACATCTTTGCGGGATGTGTATGTGTATGTGTGTGCGCGTGTGTGTGTGTGTGAAGGAGAGAAGGAAGGTATGAGGATGTGAACTTCCCAAGACCATGGGCCAAGCATCATTCAATATCAACTACCCTGTGGCGGACACGAAAGTCGCTAACACTTGCTAGCCGTGTGCTGTTCTTCAAGGCAGCTATCATGCCGGATCTACTGATGGGTCTGTTGCGTTTAGCCCAGGTCTCACCGAGCCAGGCCCAGATCAATCGGCTCCAAGTAGCACAAAATCGTGGGAAAGAGCAGTTTATGGCCGGCCATGGTTCGCTCGTGTCAGTGATCTCCTGGAACGCATGCAGATATTCAGGATTGTAGAAGTACATCTGCAGAATGTCCTGGTCTTTGTCTGGAGGTGCATACACGCCAGTGCGAGGCCATCCCTCGAGGAGCTCTTCGTATGCTGCGCGGATCTTAGGATGCGCCTGGATCTCGCCCTGGGGCTCTGGCTACCAGCTACACCAGCCCCCGCCGGACGATCTCGAGCTGCCTCTCAAGGCAGTGCCCTTTGGGACGTCCTACCTGATGCAATCAGAGTACTGTCGTCTCTCAGCAGTTTCAAAGCTGCTGTGGTACCGTATACCCTCCGATCCTCCTGATGTTATGATTATAAACTTGTCCTGAGACAGCTTCTTGTCTGTGATTGATTTTCACTGTTAACCATTATTATTTGCCATGGCGACCCCCGTAAGTCCGTAACTGGCAGGGCAGGGTTGGGCCTTTTTCCAAAAAAACCCGATTTTAGTAGCAAGTACTCTCGTTCGCAGTTAGTACTTAGTTTTTTTTTCTCTATTTATTCTCTTTACCAGGCGTGCGCCATCCCCTGGACTATCAAAAAGTGTGCCTTATTATTATTTTTCTGTTTCTGCTTTGATGACAGTCCATTGCACGCCGAAAAAAAGTACTTACAAGTAGTTTATTAGGCGGGTTACAGAACTCTCGTTCGCTGGCTTACTGGTAGTTTTGATAACGCTTCGCTCTTCATTGAGATATTTGTCATTATTTCTTTTTTCTCCTTATCTTCTCCCCAACCCTCCGTCCCTGTAACATAATAACGTTTTCGCTGCCTTGTCATTAAGCATTGGTGCTCGTTTGGATTAGCGAATTCAAATAAAGTTTACAAACAAACAAAACTAAAGAGTTGGAAAAGGAGTGAGCGTGCAAAGCAATGTGTTGTTTCAGACTTTACTACTCAGAATTGCGATTTGAACACGAGGAGAAATGCGTTCTACTGTTATTTTGCCCTCATGAAGCCAAATTCCCGAACGGTGAAATCAATGTGCAAGACTACTGCACAAGTAAGTGTGGTTGATGAGGTGCGTGAATCTCGGCCAGTAGGAACAAAACGTTGCCCACGATAACAATGAGTGTCCGCGACGCCTTAACATTATGCGAACACTCTGTGAGGCGAACAGTCATAAACCTTTGCATAATCCTGCATATTTTCATGTTCTTTGGGACGTAAATTCAGTTCTACTCACTCAATCTTCACAATCTTGGGCTTCCTGGAAAGGTCTCCGCGAAAGGAAGGGACTGAGTTCCCGCATAATGACCAGGACGCCATATCTCCTGCGCCGGAGACCAGCGAACTAGCGAAAACTGCTTGAAATGCGTGCACTTTGGTCCTGCTCCAGCATTTTCATTTTTCTTGATCGCAGAGTTTCGATTTTTTCGCTGTGTACCCTCGGAAATACTACCAGTGAAACCCACGCAAATTAGAGTAAGTCAGCACGAGGAAAAGTCTCAACATTCTCAACTTTCGAGTTGCACTCCCACGCTTTTCAAGTGCCGCAATCGCGGCTGAAATTACGAGCGATTTATCTCAAGAAATCGCAGCGCGTCGCGGGTTCTACGGCACGCTGAGAGTTATCTCTTCAAGGTAGATATTTGGATCGTTGATTTTGAGCTAGTTTTGACCGAGTTACGGCCAGTTGAAGTCTCACAGTCGAGTGTGTAGAATTCTACACATTCAAGTATGGGTCGGCTCTCAAAGACGCTTAATATAAACAACCCAATATCTTTCGTTGTTTATGTGTATGTCTGTGTTTGTGCGTGTGTGGGCATGTGTGTGTATGTGTGTGTATGTGTACATGTGTGCGTTTGGGTTCCATATGGTGCAATCAAATGAGCAGCGATATCCAATAGAGATGTTGCAGGTTCGATTCCCGACGAATCCGATCAAACACGCCTTTCTTCTCCTTCTGAGACTCTTCCTGTCTTTTCTATCACTATCCTTCGTAATTTACAACAGCCAGTGCATGCCGTAGTATGTGGTGTGAAGTATGTGCGGGAAAAAAATCGGGATTCACTGGCCAGAAAAAGCCACTTCATAGCTGTGCGGTGTATACCAGGCTGAATAGTGGTGGTCAACTTTTCAGTCTTGCAAGCTGTTGAATGGTGCAATACCAGCACAAGCTACAATGGCTTCTGCTGTAGCATCGCTATCATCACCCATGGCAATGGGCGTCACAATGTCCAAAAGGTTCAAAATGCGTGTGTGTGTGTGTGTGTCCATGCGCGCGTGTGCATGTGTGTGTATGGTGTTTGTGTGCGCGTGTGTATGTGTGTATGTGTGTGTATGCCAACCGGTCGAAGGCTACCTTCTTCCCAAAGCATTTGGAAGTTGGACTAGTTTCGGCTCCACAATCCAGTATGTCGTTACTATTATAGCTTTCATGGCTGAGGTTGTTGGTATGTCTGTTGGCTCTGGGTTCCCAGTACTCAGTAGCCGAGGCTGGTAAGTGAAGTAACTCCAATTTCACTTAAAGGTACCAGTGCATTTAGTGTCTGCTTCTATCAAAGCAGCGTGCTGCCTATACTGGCTACCCAGCAAGTGTAGGGTGTGCATAGGTAGCTGTCTCCGCCATTTTATACTGATGTACTCCGTGTGGTGTAGACCAGGTGTGCATTGGTGGTCGATTCACATGGCTTCGCCAGTTGTGTGGATTAGACAGTTATCTGGCGCAAGTCTTCATCTGTCTTATTCAGATCTTGTTCCCTATCGTTGCTATAAGAGAAAATCCTTGGGTGCACATCCAGTGCATGTGCAGATTTGCGTGCTTCTCTTGCGACGGGCGTATACATGGAACATGGTGTGTATGTGTGTGTACGTGCGTGTGTCCGTGTGTATGTGCGTGAGCGTTTGGATATGCGTGCATGTTGCATTGTACATGGAAATCCGCCCGCTGCTTCTAACCAGCAATCACATGTCCTGCGACTCCATCAATCACTAACGGCTATCTCATTACAACCATCGCTAGTTTCACCAGTGGAGGTACAGCCAATGTGTCCTGCTTTCAAGGATACCAAAGAATGGGGCCAGGAACCATCACTTGTGACAGTAATGGTCAGTGGCTAACTGGAACCTCTCTTCAGCATTGTAAATGTAAGTTGATTCAAATAATCTGCACTGGAGCAACTACTTGATTAAAACTATTCACAGCGGCGTTGACTAGGCATATGCGGATACTGCCGGCAGAAAACTTGGCAGAATTCGGTACCTTTTCTGGTAAGATACATGCATGTTTGGTATGCGGAGAAAGAAATGAAGCAGAATGCGAGGAATTGCTCGCCACAAGGTTTTTATGGTTCTGCAAATTTCACTGCTTTTCGAGGAGAATCTGCCCCATTTTCGAGCATTATCCGCGAATGCCTAGTGTAGACAACAAGCCTTTCGGCCGAGTTGCCCACCATGATGCAAAGGCGGTAACACAGACATTGAGATGAATAGTTGCTCTAGCGCTAGAGTGCTCGACTACGAAAGGTAGCCAGCATGGCGTAAGGGTGGAATTTAATGAAAATATCGTTCTGTGTCACCAGGCCGCATCAAAGAATCATGCAAAAATACATTTAAAGTATTATCTAGTGCAGTACTTCCTTTCAATTGGTAGTTTTCGTATTAGAAACATTTACATGTATCGTTGGACCATTTTCATAATTGCTGTCTTCTAACCTTTCATACATTCATTCTTCAAGTAATTAATTTAAGCACTCAATGTTTGAACTCTGCATAGAGTAAACCCGATGTCTCAAAAAGCTTCAGTGAAATTTCCAAACTAAAGGTAAACTGTACCTACTTTAAGAGAGCATGTCTGAGAATACCAAAGTATGTGTGCAAGTGGATCACTCCGATTTGACTCAAAATTTGCAGGTACTTTCCCTTGGGGATGTACCCCTCAAAAATGGCCGTAATATCACATTATTTATGGGTCTAGAAACTAGTCACGCCACAGCGTATCCGAACAAGCTACAGTAAATATCGGATATAACGTGCCCCTTTGATTTTCGAAAAATTATCACTATATCCGGTTCATCACTATAGCCGATTTGCATGTTTGACCGACACATGGCACATGACTGCACATGAAATGATGCGTACACGCTGGAAAAAGCATGCTGAGAGTGCATGCATGCTCCGCGGACTGTGTACCAGTGCATGACACAGAGCAGTGCATGGCAGTGCAGTACGAGTACAGACTGTACATCACTACATGTACTAGAACTTCGATACATCATGTGGCATGGCTGCTTCTTCAGCGTGTTCTCCAAAAAAAAAGCCTGAGCTGGATCCGTACTCACGTAGATCTACTCAGTGTCCAACGAGTTGCGTAGAGCCAGAAATAGACATGAGTGGCTGTGTACGTGAGTTGGCAACATCATCGTGAGAGGCAACACAGCCAGAAACGGACAAGAGCATGCAGAAAGATACAAAAAAGGACAAGACCATACAAAGGGAGCGAAGGGTAGCGCAGCCAGAAAAGGACATGTGCATACAGAAACGGACAAGAGCATACAAAGGGAGCACATTGCGAGGGGTAGCACAGCCAGAAACGGACATGTGTGATCATCACTCTTGATCATTATATGCGATATTTTCCTGTACATTTGATATGGTTTGTTTCCTGAAGTCTATCACAATAAGCGTTATATCGGTATAGCCGATAATAGTGTATATAGTGATATTTTAGCTGTATTTTTTTCTGATTTGATTTTGATTTTGACGTGTTCTATCACTATAACCGGTATATCATTATATCCGGTCACTTTATAAACGATACTTACTGAATGAACAAAACTCCATCAAGCCAACATTGCCTCACCTTAGAAGAGTTCGTGGAGCAGTACCGCTTAGCCACGCCAGGATCCCAGAAGACGAGGTCCATCACCCCCTGACGCCACAAATCATCGTCTTGAAAAAAGCCAGTTTACAAGCCCTGGCAAAACAGCCAGCTACGTCCTCAATTGGCCAGAACTATACCGGCAGATAGTAGAACACCACTTCTAGCGCTGAAGACATGTCCCCCGTCTTTCTTTTTGGGGTTTTCTTGAAATAAAACTTTTTTGAATTTTTCCACTCGACCATGCTGAAATACGGCCAAAGTCATACCTGCGCAGGAACGCTCGCCCCTCCGCGACGTCTCCTCAGCAATTTCTACTCCAGCACTACTCCCAAGGCCGCAAAACAAAGTATATTGTTGACTCTGACAAGGAAAAGCAGCGGTGGTCACTTGTCACTCCAAACGACAAGCTTCTCCTTGCGCCACCGATAATTTTTTGTGCGACTGTTGATGCAAAAGTGACTGCAGTCCTGAGCGCAGTTTCTGAATTTTACTACAAGAGGCACGGTGAAATCAAGTGCCTTGTGAGGCAAGAATGCCAAGTCGCGTGGATCACGGCTCACGAGATTTCAGAGTCACCTTCGTAAAGTGCGCTTGCTAACTCGCCTTGAACGCCCATCGGTCTGGAAGTGATCACAATCTTGTGTTGTTACTGCGCTCAAGAACACACTGACCGTGTTGTAGGCCTACGAACCGGGAATTTCCCTGACCATGTAGGTCGAAGACCAGTGAAATGATTATGAAATCACATTCTTTATGACGTAAGAAATCTGTCATGCAGTTCACGCGACAAGTGCGTGAAGCCAGTGCTGCTCGCGTGCCAGTCAACACAAAGCGACCGAGCTAGCAGCTTTCGTCGAGCATCGACATGACAACAAGGGACTTTTACGGTTGGACTATGTTCGGGATTGCAGGAGGTAAGTGTGAAAGACGAATAACTCTCCATGCTGCACGAGAGGCATATTTCAAAGGCTTGCTGCGATTGCAACACTCCTAGGACAGTTTGTGGGGGTTCTCAGCAGATCAAGCAGGAAACGCAGCTCATCTTACCTCTGCCATATTGGTCTGTCTCGAGTAGCGTTCCAGACACGTTCGCGATCGATTGCCGCGTGTCGTGATCCAGGAAGCGTCATCCTACGTCACCGAGCACGCGATCTCACCGTGCATCTTGCAATAAAATTCAAAAACTGCGCTCAGTACTTCAGTCACTTTTGCATCAACAGTCGCACAAAATATTATTGGTGGCGCAACGAGAAGCTTGTCGTTTTGAGTGACAAGTGATCACCGCTGCTTTTCCTTGTCAGAGTCAACAATATACTTTGTTTTGCGGCCTTGGGAGTAGTGTTGGAGTAGAAATTGCTGAGGAGACGTCGCGGAGGGCCGAGCTTTCCTGCGCAGGTATGACTTTGGCTGTATTTCAGCATGGTCGAGTGGAAAACCTCAAAAAAGTTTATTTCAAGAAAACCCCAAAAGGAAGATGGGGGACATGTCCTCAGCGCTAGGAGAGGTGTTCTACTATCCGCCGGTGTATAGTTCTGGCCAATTGAGGACGTAGCTGGCTGCTTTGCCAGCGCTTGTAAATTGGCTATTTTCAAGACGATCATTTATGGCGTCAGGGGGGTGATGGACCTCGTCTTCTGGGATCCTGGCGTGGCTAAGCTACACTGCTCCAGGAACTCTTCTTAGGTGAGGCAATGTCGGCTTGATGGAGTTTTGTTCATAGCTTGTTCGTATACGCTGTGGCGTGACTCGTTTCTAGACCCATAAATAATGTGATATTTCGGTCATTTTGAGGGATATGCAAATTTCAAGGTTCCCTTCAGAAACGTTTTCAAGGGCTTTGCACAATCGATCCACACCCCAAAGTGAACCTACCTGCAAATTTTGAGCGAAATCGGAGAGATCCACTTGCACACATGCTTTGGTATTCTCAGACATGCTCTCTTAGGTTATGAAGAAGTGCTAGCGAAGACAGGTAAAATATGTACATGTATGAGCACAGCGAAAAGTGCATATGTTTAGTCCCACGGCATCAATAGGTATCGACATTTACAGGACTGTATTCCTTTTTGGCTCAGGATCCGAATTCGACTGTTTTTGTGTTTATTTTTGTTTTGTATTGTGCACACACTCATTATTATAGCAATAAAAACTGCTTTATGGCAGTTTTCTAAAAAAAGTTATTGTGTTCTAGTCCACGGACCCCGTCTATAAATATAAGAAATTCACGAAATGTGATAGCCGAAAATTAAAATTTCTCACAAAACCTCACAATAATCACAACACTTGAAACGCTCCTTTCAACACTAAACTTGTACTGCACCAACAATTGGCAACATGCATGCATAGGAAAGAGGATCACGAGGGGAAAGGTCTTCTACATGTAGCTTTTCATTCTGTGTGTGATTATTGTGAGGTTTTGTGTGAAATTTTAATTTTCGGTTATCACATTTCGTTAATTTCTTATATTTATAGACGGGGTCCGTGGACTAGAACACAATAACTTTTTTTAGAAAACTGCCATAAAGCAGTTTTTATTGCTATAATTTCTTTTGTTTTTTCTGTGACCAATCAATGGAATGCCCTATATCAATATGTAAATGATGGCCTTCACATCATATCAATACCGTATTATACGCATTGATGTGCAAGCCTTTTCTTGCAGAAAATGGCACTAGCATAATGCATGTTCTTCTGCGAGGAAACATGTGAGTAGTGGTCTGTTGGTGGTGATACTTTTTTATACGGAGGTCATTCTGTGCATGTTGCAGCTTGCTGTTGCAGAATTTCATTACTCTGTCTTGCCTTTCAGATATTTCAGGTTTCCCCACCCTCGATCAGATTTATTTGAGAAATGTAGCCACGTGCGTGTAACAGATGTGTTTTGTTGATTCTGTGTTTATAATGGTTTATAATGATGAGTTATCGTGATAAGGTCATCCTGCATCATATTGCACTGAAATGGTAAGCCTGTCGATACAACTTTTGGAAGTAGTTCAATGACTTCAAACTGTTAGTCCACGATTTTCTAAAACACAGCAAAGGAGGAACAATAAACATGTATTAAAATGTAAACAAATACATTGCTGAGTCCGACACCTCGTTCCAATAACTACACTGATCCTGAGGATAAAAGGGGCAAGGCTATGGTTGGAGGTACTGAGAGATAAACAAGGCACTCCACAATAATAAAATGTTACACGTCTTTTGGTGAGTATGAATGATATCCAGTCGAACCTCTTTAGGACAAACACCAAGGGACCGATGGTATTCATTCTGTAAGTTTGTCTTAACCTATTTTATAACCAGTGAATACAATTATTTCTCCACTAGACAGACGAATAGATTTCTTCTTCAGCGAAAGATTCTAAGCCACACCGACTCATTGACTCGTCTCGTATGAAACAAATGAGTCACTAGAGAGGTTCTGCGAAATGAAAGTGCGTAAAAACTTTCGCTCTACATCATGAAGTGCGAAACTTCGCACGAACTTTCGCACCTTTGGACGCGAAACTTGCAGGGAACGCGAAATGAACGGTCGTAGGAAATTTCGCGAGATCGGGTCATGGTGTACGTGCACTTGGCCCGCGCAAACTGTGCAGAACGCATTCGTACACACTTTCACAAGGACTGTAGCGAAACTTCGTTCGAATGTTCGTTTTGCAGAACCTCTCTACTGAACCTTTCTTTAGCAACATGACGGCAACTGAAACAGCAACAGAGAAAGTACGATACATGTACTGCACATTCTTGCAGGTACTACAAACAGATTGCAGATCGTAATTCTTGCTTTGGCGGCACGAACCTTTATTTGGGGCAGTGCAAACTCGGCGGTACTTACAACTCAAACAGCCCAGACTCGAGTAAACAAATCCAATCATACAAGTACGAGATTTTCACGAGACTCAACCCATTGGATTGTTTCGTATGAAGCAAACAAGTTACTGATCCTCTCCACAATGAAGATTTTCCCTGATATGCGAATTTATTTTGCAAACTCGGTCAATGGGTCCTTGAACCTTTCCCTCCAGATTGGGAACTGCCAACGATAGTATGCCACTGACCAGCGCCTTACTTGTAACGTACCAATGAACAATGAATATGAGTATTTTGACAACACATCTAACATAAGACATAAGACCAACGCATATGGCCGGTTGGTTTGCAGGCCTGCCTGCGAATCATGAGGTCCCGAGTTCGAGCAGGGAGCGTGTAAAGACTTTTTACGTGAGTAAAGACTTTTTATGCGTGGTGAACTGCGCCGACACCCACGGTCAACTGGGTACTCACAGCTCGGAGTGAGGGTAACAAGGATGCAGTTTACAGGGTTATGGGCCGTAACACGCCCGATTGGTTGAGAGACTCACCTACTCTCCCCTGACTCACATGTGAGGTCTGCATTCGCCACTAAGGTGTGCAAGGCATAGGCATAGTGGTGGCCTGCGGAAGCGAAGGCTAGTTTGTGTGTTTCTGAACATTCAAGCGATGCCAACGCGAATCCCGCGAATCCCGCGAATTATTATTATTATTATCTAACATAAGCCTTACCGTCAAGAAGGTGAACTCGCGTTCTTCGTACACTGTAGACAAGGGCAAAGAGATAAAAATGGATCTAAATTCGAATAAAATCAGCACACGTTTCCGTAAATGAAAGGGTGAGCATAAGCAAATGAATCGAAGGAACCCGGTCAACTCAGAGATCACCTATTCCGTAAAAGGTGGCCTCGGCAGCGGAAAAACTAGATTTAGAAAAGAGATCCTGTCAGCTTTTCCATTATTTATTGCATTCCGCCTAAAATCAGCAAACTTTTCGTGAATGAAAGAGTCAACACAAGCAAATTAATCCAAGGCAACTGGTCAACTAACCTGTCATTGAGTAATATCCCGCGAAAGGAGGTCTCAGCAGCGCCGAAACGAAATAAGCCAGGCCAGGAGACGAAATATCCGAAACAGCTCATGCAAGAAGCAGTTCCAAAGAAGGAAGTTCCTCGCGCATGCACATCCGAACACGGATATCCGCGGACTGAACACAATGTCTGCCGTGCACGTGCACAGCACGCGGCTACCACGCGTTGGTAGATCTAATTTGGTAGATCTAATACCGAGCACGTTACGTAGAGACTTACGTAGCCTAAGTAAAATACCGAGCACCTTACGTAGAAACTTACGTAGCATAGCGGTGTCGTTTTTCTTGCCATGTGAACACAATAATAGAAAAGCTGACAGGATCGCTTTTCTAAATCTAAGCCTATTAAATGAGGCGGGGGCAATTACGGAATATTTGATATTTTTTCACTCAACCATGCTGCCATACTTCCCAACTCATACCTGCACAGCAAAGTTTTCCCCTCCAATACCCTTAGTCAATCATTTTCACTCCAACAATACTTAAAACGCTGCAGAACAAGTTACCGATTTCAATCACCTAAGCTTCTTTTATAATGCTTCCACCGATAACAAAAAAATCGTGATGGATTTTGATGGATTTGAAAACGCGTAGAACAGCTAAAGAACAGCTTGTATCGACTGCAAATCACTGGACGAGCGTAGTTCAGCCTATGTACAGCGTTTTTACTAGGAAATCTTTTGGCGGAATGAGCATAGAGTTCAGCTTGGGTCCCTTTCGCTCAACTCATTTTTGACCCTGCGTCGCTGTCGTCACCTGCTGCACGCGAGTCGTCATTTCTCTCTTGTCGTTTTCAGCTCGTTTCAGCCTTGACTCGCCTTCTTTGATCACACTCCGCTGAACTTGACGTCGCCGTCGTTCAAGTAAGTTGACTTTCAAGCTGCGTGATCCACCGCGTAGGCGATTACTCGTTTCCACCTGGAGTCATGAACATATTTTACGCCTCCCTGGTTTCATCTTCGCCCTCCAGAACTCCCCGAAACGAGGAGTAAAGGCACAGCCAAACTGATTCCATTTTCACTAATGGATACCCCTGCCAGCACTGACCGGCAGCAGCTAGCAAGTCCAGTCAACTTTCTTTAGCCACGAGACTCGTGTCGGACTGCTGACTTCTGAACGAATGCATGGGCATCAGCATTTGAATCTGGGCTTTGCGGAGGTTGAACAAGAACTTGAGTTCATAATTATTTCATTGTGCCGTGCGATCGGAGCAGCTCCTTGTTCACTCTCTCATTGTGTGGGCTAACTGCCTCTTTCCGTCCCTCTCTATCTCCCTCACACACAATGCTAGCGTAGTAGAGAGCCCAAGCAGCGCATTATCCGATTAGACAAATTAATGGGAATTTAGTTTCAATCCCCGTGACTGGCATAACCTATGTTGCCACAGCGCAACCATCGATTCCACTCGCTTTGTTGTAAAAGGTCGTTTTCCTTGCATAGAAGGGAAGGTCGGGAAAGTGATTGCGACTTATTTCACGACAGTTTGTGATCAAACAGGTTCCTAAAACAAAATCCATCAGGAAGTTTTTGTTAACGGAGGAAGTAGAAGATGTACAATTGAGTCGAGTTATGAATTACCTTTTCCCGACTGTACCAAGATAAGAAGCAGTCAGAAAGTGCGATAAAAGAGCATATACCTGTTTTTTGTGCCAGCAACATGTTTGTTACGACCATTGATGCAAACTTGAGTGCAATCTTGCTCGCAAATTTTGACGGCAAGAGGAAAACGGTTTTCGAACAGCTCCTCCTCTACTCCTCAGTTCAATTTTGTATTTGCCCCTCCAACCGCTGCAATTAACATTCCAATTACTCAATTCCAGGGTTTTGTATGTACCATGCACAGCACAGCACTGCTCTCAAAAACAGTTTATTAGTAGATGTAATGGGGACCCATTTCTCCGAAGCCTAATTTTCAAAGTTTCGGTTGCGACATACTCATCTGGATGCACCATTAACATAATTATTATGTTTACATATAACCTTGTTCGTCGTGATCACGAGCGATCTGTATTTCGCAGACTAGCGCAGTTGCTTAAACGTAACAGATCGTGCAATCCAAAAATCGAAATGTGTCGGTTGACGCTTTTAAATAGCTGTTCGTCGCTCATTTTGCTTCAAAACGGCGCCAGTTTCGTTGTTAAAAGCGGGAAAGAGCCACAACTGATATGCATGCAAATTGTGTCTTATAGTCTTCCATTGAATGTTTTTATTCTCTATCATGGCTTGAAATTGTACTTTTTGACATTTTCACTTTTTCCCTCGTGCTTATCACAGTAAGGTCATGTACTAAACTTAACCCACCGACGAATGGCTCAATTGTAAGCAGCTCCACATCGCCATATGGAATGACCATATTCGAATGTAACAATGGCTATGAACTGACGGGAAACCGGGCATCTGTATGCTTAGCAAGCGGTACTTGGTCCAACACAGTACCTACATGTACAAGTATGTTTTGCTTTTGTAACTAACCTTAATCAAGGGTCTTGGTTAAACTTCTCAAAGTGACAGTCATTTTCGGACATTTCCCGCTTCTACCTCCCTCGAACCTATACCTATTCTTTGCATTGAGGCTACAGTCAGGGCAGCACCGCATTGCCACTTACTGGGTCTATACCAATGTATACTTGACCCATATCCCGCTCTCTAACTCCGTATCAATAGAGAAAATTCGTAACAGAGGTCGTTGGGAGGTGGATGATAGTACCGAAATGAAGCTGCATGCAGGTCCTTAAGAATTCTGTTAATTTTCCACATCTTGTCAGATCAACAAGGATGGTTTAGGTATCCTCGCTTCAAAGGATAGTGAAGGGAATGGCTCACGTGGAAAAAGACTATGACATCAATAAATTAAGCCAACCACACAACCAATATCGTTAAGATCAACATAACTACTCTTGTGACAAGGTGGTCATTTCTTCAAGTTTAGACAAATTTCGAAATAACAAATCGTAGATCGACTCTCTGAAAGCTTCAGAGGCTGTTAAAACAAAGTTCACCATGAGCTAAAATGAAAATTTCTTTGCCTGAGGTAGAGTCCAAGTGAAGTCAAACATGTTTTGTTATGTCGGAAAATACCACGTCTCATAATTCCAGTATCTAATGTTATTATGCATCTTGTTTGTGAATTTAGAAATCACGTGTACCCCTCTTAAATATCCAATCAATGGTGCAATAGCCAGCAGCACGCATGGCGTTGGCGGTGCTACATACTTCACCTGTAACTCAGGTTTTGCAATGATGGGGAAAAGTGCATCTGTGTGCACAATATCTGGATCATGGTCGCAGCCAGCCAGCACCGACTTGTCAAGGTTACGATATTGCATAAGCACAATTTCTCAATTGCAAAAGCTAAAATTACATTACTTTCAAGTAGCATAACAATGGTTACTTCCAGTAACTTCTTGATATCTATCCCGCTAACTCTGTGAAGTAAAATTGTGCCTACCCTGAAATTACCGATTTGCAAATATAAACCCAAAGAGCGAGGTTTAACGGCCCTGCCAGTACACACCTGTAATTAATTTTGCTTTGCTGGTCTTTTGTTTTGTCTATAGAACTACGTACAACGGCTTCTCTCACCACAACTAATATCGTGGCAGCATGCATTGGCTTTTTCGCTGGTTTGCTTGTTCCTGGTTGTCTGATCATAGTTGGATTAGTACGACACCAACGCATGTCCACGTCCAAAACGGTAGCAGAGACCAATAATACCCTGCCAACTGATGTAATTGGTAACCATATGACGAAGAGTGAGGCGTACGAGATGACCCCAGCTAGCAATTTAGCAACCCAGGACCCCCAGTATAAATCATTGGGGCATGTTTAATTGCCAATGTGTGCTCGGTTAGTCTGCGTCTCACCGACCAGTGTGCATTCACAGAAGATGCAAGTGCGAAGAAAAAGACTGACCAGAGCTTGGTCGAGTGCGCTGGCTTGTGGTTGAAATCAGTTTGTCTTCAGAAATTATTGTCCGTTTTATTTGCCTCAACTTCTCCTGTGTTTGGAATCTTTCTCTTTCGATTCATTTGCCACGTTTCTGGCCCTGTTGCCCATTGCCTCTTTGCAATTTCAATGCCCGTATCTAAAGAAAAAAATGCAAGTAACTATAAGCCAAGTTCTAAACCATTAACTCTCGGCCACCTATCCGTTCGCTTCACATTTTTGCGCTGTATTCCGTCAATTGTTTTGATTTATCGCATAACAATCCACCTTTCCTGCTGCCTCTGCTGGCTCTAATTTGCACATCTTTCCATTCAATGCATCATGCATTGCACCAGACTGACATAGATAATTGTTGTCAATGGTCGGTAGCCACTGCCATCAGTTAGTTCCCTACACTTTGAAAAATATATTTGGCAACGAATGGCGTATTTATTCGGAACTCTGATCTTCAATGTCGTCGTGGGGTGAATATCACTCCTTCGCGACGTTTCTCTGTCCATATCCGCGCTATCACCCATAAGGTTCGCTGTCAGTTCTCCTATTGCGCTGCATAGCCTTTTTCCTTCTGCACCAACTGTGAATGTTTCTTTTCTATAATTATGTTATTTGCAATACTCGTCAGATTGTGCAGTCCCGGGTTGGTTGTTCGCCGTTTCTTTCTCACTTACAATGGATTCGCTGCATGAACATGTGCTTTTATCTTCAAAACATTACAGTACGCAGCAGTTGTCGAGTCTCATTGGTTGGTCTGAAGAGGTGACAGTTCGTATACTTGTAGGGCTGCTTAGATACTTTCCGTGTTTCCTATTCTTCAGTTGCGTGCGTATAAGCAACTCATCAACCCAGCTGGTTCCTCATTCTTTCTTTCATTTGGTCGAAGCTACAAATAGTCAAGCTTGGCTCGTGATGTCAAGGCGAGTAGCTGACTATACAAAACGGTCCACTGATTTGGGGAATGGAAAAGGGAAAAGTGTTAAGAGATTATTGACCACCAGAACCTTTAGCTCTCTGGCTTACTGACCTATCCATGACCTGACCTATCCATGACCCCATGACCTACCACTGACCTATCCACGGTAGAGCTGTCATCCGACCAGAGCCTGTTCAACCTCCTCTTCAGATATCAAAGCTTCCTTTCTTGTGAAACTACACAGGCTGGTGACGGGCAGCCCTCAAAGTACGCACACATTTCACCCACAAACTGCATGAATGTATGAATACTCCACTCAACACAGAGCACCACGCATCATGAGTTGCAACTAATTAATTGTCTGATAATAGCCTATGGGCAAGAAACTACTAGCTGCAACGAATGAGGCGTGGTGCTCTTTTTCGTGCGAGAGATTACTCTTATTATTCTCATATCCGACCCCTGTGGGACTTACAACTACATACTTGACTGCGAGCATGTATGTGTGAGAGCGTGGATGCCGTTGCTCGTATAACAAAAGACGTTTGAATTCATTTGTTGCTCAGTGCCGTCAGGCTCGTTTGGTAAATAATAATAAAAAATAATAATCTTTATTTCAGGATTACCCAAAGGCTGACGCCTATCGGGGGATCTCCTATTTGTGTATATGCAATGAACATTGGAGGTGGGAAAAAGAGAAAATGTGCAAAATGAGTTCGTAAACAGAGAGATGCTGTACAAAAGATACAGTGAAAGAACAAGCAGTGTACATGTAAATCAAAGATTGCATATCAAAGGTATACCAGTGCAGTCGAACTGATACTTTGCAATGTAAATACGTAAATGACGATTGAATTCTGTAAGGGAATCTAAAGTTGTCAATCGGGGTTTGGAGACAATTCCAAAGTGCACCAGTTTTCTGTAGGAAGAGACATGAGAAAATTTGGCCATGTGAGTTAAAAATAGTTAGTGCATTGCACTTGACCTGAGCAGAATATCACATATCACTTCAATAATTATGTCAGATTAATATCTTACATTAGACAATATATTTCTGATCCAATACCAGCAATCATCCAATATTTATCTGGCACAATAATATTCTTATTAACTCAATTCAATGGTTTCCCGACTATATTGACATATTCATTGATGATAATCTATTCAGTTTTCTCTGGATTGCCTGTAAAAGAGGCCCTTCTCATGTATGTGTGAGACTGGAAAAACAGACTGAACAAGAGTCCAGTAATAAAGGTCAATTCTAAGAAGAACAGTATTAGTATAAATGGCTGAGCAGATAATACTCCATTGTTTTCTCTCATCGGCATAACTGCCGATAAAGTGCAGAAAAAACTGCAAGGGGACCGTCTGGCTGGAGACTTGTGGTGAGGTAAGAGCGTGGTGTACTTATTCGAAAGGGCTGACTGTTAGCATATGCACAGAAAGCAGTGAGAGCAACATTTGTAAGGATATAACTTGGCTCGCGTTACATACGTCCTAATAGCTTCCACCTGTCCTGTTCGACCATTTCAAATACAGAGCACTGGCCAGTAACAGCATATAAATATGCATTTGAGATAACATTTGGGTAGGTAGGTTTAGTGGGTGTAGAAAGCAGGTTGTGTTCGAACCATAACATCAGAGTGCCTCCAATGCTCTTGCAGCCAACCGAATACGGCGTGTGACGTTCTCCCCCGGGGCAGTACAGAGTGCCGATTTTCTTCACCTACCATAAAGCTTCTTAACTACAAGTTTTGCTGTTAAGTCTAGATGTTGTAGAGGTGGCATTTCCCAAAGTGGGTTCCAGGAAGATACGGATCCATTCAGTCTAACTGGTGTGAACGATAAGACACCATTTTTAGAAGATGCCTGCGATGACGGGTAGTGCGCTGGTAAGGTATGATCTTGATGTGGAGATGAAGTCTACGTCATCGGCGAAAGCTGTTTCTTCAGGTAGAATATTGTCTGCTAGAGGTGGAGTTGCCAGTTGGTCACGTACCAATCTAATACATGTTGGATGCGCACTCCAAGTCAGTCAGTGTCGTGCACTGTTATCGCATGAGCTCATTGTTTAGTAACTGGTGGTATTCGTGGACATTATACCGTACTAGTAATTTGTAGTGCCTTTGAGTCACGACCAATCCAAACTGAACATATTTCTCTTTTTCGTGTGAAACGCTCTGGACTTTGTGCATCGAGCACAATTGTCAAAATAATTACTCCTTTGTAATAGAATAATTATACAAACAATTGGTCTTTCGGAATCACTTGAATCACGAGAATCATATTGGGTGGGGCTGGCTCCACGTCATGCCTGTCGGGCTACTACCATTGTGCGGACTGTGTCTTCATCTAGAGAGGCTCTAGGTCAATACGCCGAAAACCCTTTTTTTGCCGTCGACTGGTCGAAAACGGCGTCGATGCTCCGACAATTCTCGACAGGCGCACTTCGCCGGATGGCTGTTTAGGCGAAATATTGTCTCTTACACACCTGGTGCCAAACGACATAGTGAAAATGTTATCGTGGCCTTCAGAATATCACAAATACCTTGAAACCAAGATTAGGAATGCCTCACGCCGTCAAATTTCACTAATGTGCATGTCCACTGCCACCAGTGTCCACAAGTTAGCTGATACGTGCACATGGCTTGGGCGGAACATTTGTCGGCTGCAATTCAGGCTCTGCGCTCTGTTCGCTTCAGAGCTGCGGAAGATGGCGAGCTTACCAAAGGTCAGGCTTTTTCCCAGTGACCCCGGGATGCTCCCACGATAGGCGGTTAGCCTGTAGCTAGATCTTGGTCACGTCTAATTCCTTTTTGTTATCGCATGTGGATGATACTCCTCACCTAGATCCTGTGGAACGAACCCATCCGCGCGAGCTCTGATAAAATAGAATTCTTGTGTAACAGCGCCAACATAATGATTATAGATAGGCTGTAATTTGCAAAGCTTTGCGTAGGTCACAAGGCCACAGGTGTATTCCTCCTGTCAACGAGTTTGTATATTTGGCTAGTAGTAGACTAACTTCAATGTATCTCTGGCCGTGGCCGAGATTGGTACGCATCTTGACATTGTTAGTGCGGAAGCTATTCGAATGCGCGAGTGTTTCACATGAGCATAAAATCTATTTTCAAAATTGTATTCAAAATCAACCTGTCATTTCTCTACGTTTGTACTGTGTGCTGCGAACTGGCAATTTGGATTTCGAACTCTCAGCACTCTGGGTGTGTTCTGATGGTTAGTCTCACACTGTGTAATCGATGCTCTAACACTAGCTCAACAAGAGAGACAAACAAGAAACTCGTAGCTTCTTTTCGACCCGGCATCCTGAGGCCTAACGTTTATATATCGGGGAGCGGAATGAAGATGGAAAAAGTCAATTATATCTTTCTGTATCCAAATCCCACCACCCCTACAACGATAGATTAGGGCTTCGTCTAATGCTCTCATTGGACCATTACGGAGCACTACATGAACAAGATCGCCTTTGTGCTCCCAAGAAATTCTACTGCCCCTCCACCCAATTTGCAAGTCTATACCAGCATCAGGTTTCAAATCTGTCCCTTTTCCTTTACCCCTTTCATGCGAAACTGTCCACTAACGTCCCACCACAGCGCCAGGCTTGATCAATATCCTGATAACAAACAGTCCCCTGCAGCCTTTCTTTTCCAACATTCAGCTCTTCTCGGACTCCTGCCAACTTGTTTCATAGTATTCCCGCAATGGCAGCAAATATGAAAGCTTTTTAGCGGAAAGAAAAGGAGCAATGAACTAGCAGTGAAGCTATACTGTCCAGCAGCACCAACAGTTGCTGGGCAATCATATAATGAGATACGTGGATCATGGATTTTCTTCTTTCCTATAAAATCATCCCTCGCTCTCCACCCGATTCAAGTGTGAAGACGTTTGAATTCGTTATTTTACTGCCACGCGTAGAATGTGTGTATTATAACGACTTAATGTGCTTCCAATTATGATAGTTCAATATTTTTGCAACTTTAATGAAAAGAAAAAGGAGCACCGAAAGTACATGTTACGCTGCAATGTCCAGTTAAACCACAAATTACTAAACAATCAGCTCATGCGAAAACATTTCACGACACTGCCCTACGGTACTTACGTTCTACAATTAACTAGCTAACAGTTACCTTAGAACCTTCCTAATTGGAAGGTTGTTGGAGTGTGCATCCAAGATGTGCTAGACCTGTTAGCCAGTTAGCTGTAGAAAGGCAGTACATCCCAGGCAGTGTCGTGCAATGTTGTTGCATGAGCTGATTGGTAAGTAACAGGTGGCTTTAGTGGACGTTCCAGCATAACTTGCATTTCCTTTGTCATTTTTCTTTTCAATAAGATTATCCATGGCTCTCCATTCGAGTTCATTGTTGCAGTTAATGTTTGTTGTATAGCTGCTTTTCAGACTCAATCTTCCTCGTCTTATTCATGCTCAACGAACGTAGGCTGGATTTCCCGAAACATTGTGTATTGAACCAGGTGTGATACTTTCTTTCGTTTGACTGATTATTGTTCCAAGCACTGTTGGTGAACAATGGACAGTCGAAGTCAGAGGCCTGTCAGGCCAAATCAAAGGAAAGCACGAACGTGCGTGTAGCGCGCACCCAATCTAACAACATCCGAACAACTGGAATTCCGAGATATAATTGCAGGTGGATCAGCAATCGAAAAACACACCAGCTGGGTTACACAATGCACAACACTTAGCTTCCGTTTTTTCTCCATTGTTGTCATTTACGGGCCTGAGAAAAGGCAAGGTTAAGTCTAGAGAGTGATTGCAGTGTACATATAGAGTTTCAGTTGCGTCC